GGGGGGGTGGGGAGAAAAAAAAGCAAGTACATCTTTGCCATCTATTATTCCTGCAAAGAATTTACAAATATTTCTGCACGGTCTTAGAGGCAATGCAAGCTGATACAAGTCAACATAGAGTCCCCATGCTGAACAGCTTAGCATATTCATATACAAGGTCAGACAATAAAAGGTAAGTTAAGGTATAAAAAGGCAGGATAAAAATAGCAAACAAATTAAGGTGTGTTGTAGCACTAGAATGATTCATCTCTCTGGATATTTTTGAAATAGAAAGCACAAAAAACCACTTAGATTTCGGTATTTTTGTTTTCCGAAGGACAAAAGGAATCAAATAATTCAGGGAGAATGCATATGAAAGTACCACCTATGGAAATGGCAGAAACATACTGTGATTGGAAAATCAACTGCAACCTAACAGAAAAAAGAGGACAGATTCATTCAATGTTTAGTTCTTGGCTACAGCATCCAAAACAATATACTGCTATTTGCAGTGACGCCACAAAGAATCCTCTGCTTTCGTGAGTACCAATATTGTTTTGGATAACCAAGAACTTAGCCAGGAAGAACTGTCACTCACTGTTAAGAGCGAAAGAAATGGAAGCTAAACTAAACTAAAATATGCATCAGGTATGATACCAAGTAACTCAGGAAAACTAAGAAATACCTTGTACATTTGGCATCTGCTGCAGGTTCTTTAGCTTCGTTCAACAACTTCTGTAAGTTTCTTATCTTTGCCTTCTTTTCATTCAGCACCAAAATAAACCGGTTATAAAGATCTGACTCTAGTTCTTCTTTAGCTTCCACACATTTTTCCAGCCTACAATGCAAAATTAACTGTTACACCATTTCTTTTTAGAACTCTGTTTCCTGGAAGAAAATTCTGTAGTGAGGCCAGCCTTCCTATTACAGGAATCCCCATACCAAACCATGCATGACTAGCCTAGCATCTTGTGCCTGAAACAGGCCAGAAGAAACTTTTTTTTTCCACCGAAAATTTGAACGAACTTTGCTACCAAAAGGGGAAAGTTTCCAAGGGGAAAATTTTCCCTTCATGCTTTTTTTGATCGGTTCTTGCACACATGCATCTGAGACAACTAAAATTTAAATAGACAAGTGTTCCTTAGTTTCAATGCTGAATTCACCATAGTGGGCATAGCTTAGCAGGATACACATAATGAGATTACAAATAGACATGATTAAGCTTGACAGGTCCCAAACCTGGACCACACACTCTGACTTGAAATATATTTGAACAGGGGGAAAAAAAAAACCACGAAACAAGAAATAGGCAACTCCATTCCAACATGGGCTGAGATGAGCAGCAAATACGTTGAGCAAAATAGGCAACTCCATTCCAACATGGGCTGAAATGACCAGCAAATACGTAGGGCAACCGCGACAGCTCCAGAACTCTCTCCTTGCCAGGACTCCCGGGGCAGATGTGGGTGATACAGACCTTTGCCTGATCATTTTCCATCAACAGCCTTGCATGTCTTGTTCTGGTGAGCTGGCAAGGTACAGAAACCAGTTCCTGACAAAGCTCAACAGGACACTGCAGCAACACCTGATGGCAACTGTAACCCCTTACAGGCATTCAGACAAATACAATGCTAATAACACCAGTGCTGCGGACTCCATTTCTAATTACACAGATACAGAGCCGAGATCTTGGTACACTTGCAGCCACCACTAGGCAGAATTTTATTTTTTTTCCCCTGAACTCCTAATTAATATCTTCAGGGTAAAATATTCTTCTGGGTTTTAAAGGTTTAATGTGCACCTGTAGGTAGGTCAATGTCAATAAAACAAAGCGCAATGGAAATATACAGTTAAGAATATGGACTTACACTGTCTCATAAGCAAAGCAAAATGGAATATAAGCAAACGTGAGCACAATAAATGAAGTGACTTATAGCAACTGCAATTCTATATTTACTTCTTGAATTTCATAACTTTTTAGTCCATGGGTTGAACCATAAATGTTTTAATAGCTGTGTTCATAACAAGCAAATAAACATCTTGATAATCTTATTGATCATGGTAACTACAGTATTATAGCAAGTTGTCATAACCTATAAACAACATTCTTTTCACCAGCTTATACAAGGTTGGTAAAAAAGTTTAGAAGGCTTCCTTTGTTATTAAACTCAAACACGTAACAGATTTTAAAAATAGTAATTTATAAGCTAAGAAATTTCAACAGACTTCCTATATAAATACTGATTATTTTGTTCATAGATCAAAACCATATAAGAAGAAAGACAGTAGAAAATAATCTCATGAAGTATTAAGTCTACTGTGCAATGCTTTAGGGATATGCTTGATAGTTGATAAATAATTCATCTAATTTAAATGCAAATAGCAGAACATCATTACCATATAGATCGGTTCAATAATTCCTAAATGAAAGATCATACGTACTAATCAACTACCAGGAGACTTTGCACCTACAAAAGGAACGTTAACTGTTTAGTGGGGAAAATAGACAAATCACAAAGAATCATAAACCCTAATAAAGGGTCCAGAAGTGCCTTGACCAGCTCATGGAAGGAGAAGGGTAAGGATGGGAATTGCCCCTCGCTTATCAAGTAGAATTCAGCCATTAAAAAACAGATCTAAAAAAAAAAAATACAGCTTTTGGGTAAACTGCCATTTACATGCTTGAGGCTAATTACGTCTGTATACATAAAAATGGAAAACAAGGATTTTGTGTAAAATATGGTAATCCTGTCCGTATCAAATCCTATAGAAAAGTCCGCTCTCCCACACACAAAACAATGCTAACTAAAGAAAGTATTTACTACTGTGCCTTTATTTCGCCAATGGACTGGTTAGTGTCAGAGCAGCTGAGGTTGGTTTAAATAGTTACATCGAGACATTTTGCTGACTTGGCCAAAAAGGTGTCATATAAGACATCCACTGATGAAAATCCACATAACTGTAAACTTTTAATGAAGTAAAGCTGATGCTGCCTGGGTGTTAAGAAGCACAGTATAGGAACCTATTGCAAGACTAGCCAATTTATTCAGCCTCTGGAGCAAAATATTAGCATCTCAAAATATACATACTGACTATATGCATAGATCAGAATATTAACTGTTCCCTGTAGGCAAAATCAATTAGTAGTATGCCATCAGTTAATCTTATATGATTGTTTTCACTTAGGTGAACACCTTTTTTGATTTTTTCCTGTTGTTTAAAGTAATCCATATATTAACACATTCTCCAGACATAGATATGACATTAATTTGGCATAACATTCAATCAATGTAAAATAGTATTACATTAATGCTATATTTGCAAGTTATGAGCCTTTAAAAATATACTATTATATGGCATATGATGATACTTAAAAACGAAATAGTAAAAAGCAACAGACCTCTGCTGCTTGGGAACAGGGATGCATTAATTATGCAGAACGTATCTGTGTGTGGGGTGGCTCCGGCTGTAATTCTGCATAGCCTTTAGGATTCACTCAGGCATACGCTACCTGAATTACCTGACCACTACGCAAAGCTGGCTGGGTTTCATTCCAATACCTCGTCGGTTACAAATACAAACTTTACTTGCAATTCGTCACATGCTTGTGCCTGTATCTGGTTTGTCTCACTAAAATACCACCTCCCCAGGCCAAATAAAGCTGCTGCTCATCTCAAAGACAACTTTCAAGTACAATGAAAATAAACAGAAGTTAACGGCTAGAGTGGTGAAAGTCTTATTTGCACATGCTTTCCAATTTCCACATTCTTAGGTCTCTGTTATGCAAGTGCAATGCCAGACACACCCAAGTTGATAGCCATCAAAAAGCTTGCATAGCCTACTGCAAGCGGCTAGTATTAGGAACGGTTATGATTAGTAATTGAGAAAATAACGTAACTGTCCAGGTCTTAAGTGCTGCCTAAATGTAGAGCAATCACACATGCTTCAGAGAGGTTAACATGAACTGTGTAACTGAATGGCATTTATATATTTTCCGCGCTCCAATACTAGAAAGAAAAAATTCAACATCTCTGCTATTTACCACTGTCCTCAGTGCTCTAAAATAATTACAGGTCTTACAGCACCGCTCTATTACATTTCAGATTCACCCTTCCCCCAACATTGGCAATGGTATTGAATCTTGATGAGCTAATGCTGAAGAGTCAGTTTCAAGCACCAAACTACCTAGCCTGCATTCTTATAAGCTGTTTGTGGTTTAACTATACTGTCACTATAGTTGACCACAACACAAATTAGCAGCTATTTTGATTTTGGCTTGTCTACACTAATTTTAGACGTTTGATACAAAATACATACCACACCCAAAACAGAAATTTAACTTCTGTTTTATTGGCCAAAGAATTATTTTGCTAGAGATTATTACCACTTTACTTTTACCATATTAATTATCTATATGAAATAAAAACAATAGCTATTCTGTTCTAATATTTTAACTCATCCATCCCTAAGGTGTGCGTGAGCGCGCACACACACACACACACACTCCCCCCAGGGCATTTTCAGAATAACCCTTTTGAAAATTTCCATAGTCTGTCTATTTGGTTCTTGCCAGAGAGTCTCTTAGTAATTTTTATTTTATGTTTTTAGATCAAGTGCTGAACAGTCTAGCTAGCCAATAACTCTTATACTGATGTCATCTACGCATGGGTCATTTCCTAAAAGCAGGGAAGTGTTCAGCCAGGTAAAATCCTACACTTCGGTCATCACAATAAGCAAGATGATGAAAATTAAGGGAGTTACAGCTTCAGCCAGAAACACTGTCAACCCCTCAGATGCTGCACAGCTTAGGCTAGGGTACATAAGTCATTTAGCAATTTGATGATGCAGGGGATCTCTCTTCAAAATGGATTTTTGGCCCCTTCCTGCCTTTCACCTTTACTTGAACCTGAACTGCAGAGGGAAGCAGCAGGAGCCATTCCTAAACCTGGCACAGGGCTGCCACGCGAGCAGTTTACAGCCAAGCGGACTATCTCACGTACATTGAGGCAATTGCCAGCAACAGATCGGGGCTGGTATCCAGCTTACAGATTGCTCACTAGGCAGATTTAGCCTCCTGAAGGAAACTTGCTTGCCATTTTACAGACCAAATGGAAAGCAGAACAAGTTTACACCTCAAGAGACCCCAGAGAGATACAGGGCCAAGCTGCTGTGCTGAGCTCACAAAACCTTCATGATGGTCAAGAAAATTAGAGTAGGGAAATGGAAAAGGGATGATTGAATTATTCTATCCAGTGCCCCATGCTTAACCTGAACAAAAACAGCTCTTGGAAGTCTGCATGCTATGTTTTAATTCTGATGAGGTCCTGAAGAGAGAGATTTTAAGCAAGGGGAACTGCAGGGTCTGAAACTCTGGAGCTGATGTGCCTTAGCTCCAGGCAAAGAGGGAGCACAATTCTCCACACCACGTGCTTCATATTTGATATTTTACCACTCAACGCTGTGAGTGATACCGAGTGTGAAGCCTGAAATCCTGTCTACTGAACAAAGACAGGCAAAGCTTTTGCTGAGCTCCAAGAAACTCACAACACCAGGTCCAGTATTTGGAGCCAAAAAAGCAAAGACAGACAGTGGGGTAGGCTAGGCTGTGGCAAAAAGAATTAAAAAACAAACAAACAAACAAAAAAAACAAAACCAAAAACACAACACTGTTTGGATGAAATTATTTTTGTTCTCCATTTAGTGGACATGGCCAAAGTTTGGTGACCATGCAACCTTCAGTATTTATTTTGAAAAATCATGTTTCAGCTTTTCAAAATATAAACATACTACAGAAAACTACTAGCTTTCGAAGCTTGAATACACTGCTTCCGAGAGCAAAGGCTGTCAGGCAACTGTGATTTTTTTTCTTTGGGGTTACTCTTTAAAAGTGCCACACTACCATGAAAATTGATACAAGCACTAATGCCTATTCCACATTAGCGTGTAATGCAGTACAGCATACTGGTTATACAATACGCTATTGTTCAATAAACTGTTAAGGAGTAAAACACTACTTAGGAAGGCCATATGCTTGTCAGGGAGATTGTCAGGAGAAACTGTTAGTCATTTTAATGAGAGAGAAACAAAACTAACTCCTCCCAAAAGTTAGTTCTCTTTTTCAAGGTAAATTAACACCAATTAGTTACATTCTTTCATCAGTCTTCCTAAATGCGGTTTTTCAGATAAAGCTATAGAAAAACAAGATAAATCTCTGACTTGTACGTGCTAGGCATTTTACACTGACTGAAATAAGCAAAGATTACTTCACTACAGAGTGCAGTGGCAGACAATTCAGATCATAAATGCAATAACAATTAAAAAAAAAACCTCACAAAATAATGGTGCTTTTTCCTTTAAAAACACACTTGTTTTCCAATTCTGTCTGCTTCGACAAGGCAAACAGATTAAAGTAATGCCAACTTATTTCCTGCTCAAAAATGTGAATAATTTAAACCACTAGTCATAAGAGTTATAGAAAATAGAGGAAAGACGACTTCCTGAAGAAAGTGAAGAGGATTCTACAGAAAAGAGGTCATTTTTTTTCACTTCATAAAGGTAAAACCAGCTTTAATTCCAAAGTTTGTAATACCAGTTGCATTTTTGACATCGGAAGAAGATCCACAACTACATAGGCTGCAAGTAAATGGGCTAAAACCACTTGTCAAGAGAAGAAAAATGTGTGTGTTCCTTTGTGTATATGACTCCAAAAGTGCTCAGCAGTAAAGCCTGCACTGGCAGTATATGTATTTGTAAATTTCTCAAGTAATCACCTGTGAATGCACTTTTAAACTTACCGCTTCTCCGCGTCACTCCAGTTGCTGAAAAGCCTTTCATTTTCTTTTTGCAGGTGCTCGTTTTTCACCTGCAGTCTTCCCAGGCAGTCTAGGCAGTAACCAATCAGCTCCTTAACCACCTCCGCCGGACTCGAAACTTTCTGTAGCTTCAGAGATCCAAGCCTAAACTAGGACACAAGGAACGAACGAGTTACTTCATCTGCGCTAGAAAGATCACAAAACCTCGCTCCACAAACTTGAATACATGCTTAATAAGCCTAAGAAATACCTTACAGTCCTCCAGTTCAAAGTGATATAATAAATTTGTCACAAGAAGAATTGTGGAATATATGCAATAATCTACACGCCAATTATGTGTGCAGCTAATACATCTTAATGGTCACCTGTCATTCAATAGGCGTAGGAACTAAGCGCTGACATACTTCCTAATGGGCAGGAAAAGAGATGCCACGCAGGAAATGTAGTATGATATAGCAACAGCCTGCTCTTGTACAGATCAGAGGAGCTCAGTAGTATAAAGGTGCAACCACAGTTTTTATATAAAAGGCATTTTTGATGTAATGCAGAACCACAGGAACTGAAAACCTAACGGTATTGCTAACATCTTCTTGCCATCTGCCCAGTGAACCAGGTGAAGTAACTTGCTGCCTATTCTGGTACCCACAGCAGCAATACAACCACATAAATATTACCAATAAAACAAATGAAGATTAATTACTTTTGATTTAAATAGCACTACAAATGCCTGTCTATGATCCTTGCATGCACCTGATGGATGAAAACTAGCCCCCAAGTTTTCCCCTTCAGGGCTCAGACAGCAAGTTCTTAATAGTAGAAGGAGTCTTTCAATTAAATAGGTAGCCTCAATAATTCAATGAGATTAATGGATAGGAACTATAATGAATAGTTGTATTTCTTCAGCAATGGGGATGTTATACAGGATATACAAGAGGTCTGAACAGATTTGTTCTGCCTGGTCTGCCAGAAACAACTGAAAACTGTTGTTTCTATTATGTTAAAGGAGGAATAGTTCAGCTATACACACAAAACAGTATCAGCTAAACTACAAACATGCAAAGCTGGATGATGACTAAACATATAAAAAATGTTCAACGTGACAGTTTGAGGCAATTGAAGAAGAAAGATATTAAGGTTGCTTGAACAAGGTCGCATGTATTATCTTAAGAGAAGCAAACCAGAAGTGAAGGAGCTGACTTTGGTGCTCTGGAGTGAGTAGGCGATGGGGAATCTACCTTAAGGTACACTTCCATAGCTGATAAAGCCTACAGAAGCCATAGGGGGCTTTTCTGACACTTCTCCACAGCTAGCAGCAACACCATTTGCCCAGCTTGACAAAAAAAGTAGTTGAGGGAGCAGATCCAGAGAAAAGCAGAGTGGGTTGGATGACACAATCCAGACTTCAGCCAGCTTAAACTACAGCAGATGCAGATCTTTCAGGAAAGAGGCATTGTTGTGGTTTAACGCCAGCCGGCAACTCAGCACCACCCAGCCGCTCACTCACTCCCCCCTGGTGGGATGGGGGAGAGAATCGGAAGGGTAAAAGTGAGAAAACTCATGGGTTGAGACTGTGGGACAGTTTAATAGGGAAAGCAAAAGCCGCGCACACAAGCGAAGCAAAACAAGGAATCCATTCACTGCTTCCCATGGGCAGGCAGGTGTTCAGCCATCCCCAGGAAAGCAGGGCTCCATCACACCTAACGGTGACTTGGGAAGATGAACACCACCACTCCGAACGTCCCCCCCTTCCTTCTTCTTCCCCCAGATTTATGTGCTGAGCATGACGTCATATGGTGTGGAATATCCCTTTGGTCAGTTCGGGTCAGCTGTCCCCGCTGTGTCCCCTCCCAACTTCTTGTGCCCCCCCAGCCTGCTCGCTGGTGGGGTGGGGTGAG